CAAAACTGGCTGCCAAGACTGTCAGGAAACGCCTCCTCAAAATTTCAGCTTTCTAGCTTTCCCGGCTTCCGAGTTAGCAAATTACCTGCAAAAAAAATTCACGGTCCCGGTGTCTGTGTTTATGTGAGTGCTACGCATACCTGGTGTCTGTGTTTGAGCTCATTAATACCTACGTGGACGGGGAACGTCTCTTTAAAATTCCAATCCTTTTAGCTCCTTAGGTTTCCAAGCTAGCAACATACCCGAGAACTTTCATGGGCCCGTACGTGGGCACTACGCATACCCGGGAACTGGGTTTGAGATCATTAATACCTGCGTGGACAGGGTACGCCCCCTTAAAGTGTCAGCTTTCCAGCTTTTCTGGTTCCCGAGTTAGCAGCTTGCCTGTAAAAAACTTTGACGGACCCGCACCTGAGTACCAGGCGGGTGAGAGCGCCCATTTTGGGGATTGGGACCCGTGCGTCTATGTAGGTTAAGTTTCCAAAGTTTCAGCCCTGTAGTTTTTATAGGCACTGAGATGAGAAATCGGTAAAGAAGAACACACAGACACACACACACACAAACTACTTCTCGTCAGTGTGCGTTTTTTGCATTGCATAGATGCAAAAAACGTATAAAAACAAAAGCCAAAATGCCAGAAAAAGTGCATTATCTAAGTACATATTGTTAGAATGGAACTCTGAATGCTATGCTTCTACTAGAAGTATTATTTTGTTGAGGGACCACAAGAATTCGAGGCTTTGTGCTTTTGAATTCTGTCAGTTTCGTTGCTTTTGGACAAAATGAGCATGTGGTTGACTGCAAGCAAAAAGTGTGAGCGGACTTAATATACAATTTTATCAAAAGCTACCAGCTGTTGAGCGCAGACAACTAATTTTATATTTACCGCAGTCATGCTGTTTTGTCCATGTTTGCTGAGCTTTTTATTATTCCGTTTATAATTTGCTAATATTATTTGTAGTTAATTGCCACTTGTATCACGTCACTGAGTTACGTTGTGGCACAAGTCTTAAAGGATCGTCATTGCCGTCAGAGCATTAAAGCAAAGGGGTCATTCGTAAATTGACCCACCACTCCATAAAGCAATGACGTACGAATGCGGAATGTGGTCACTGGCTAAAATGTTTGTTGGTTGTTTTTGGAGAACAGTTGTGCGAGGTATTTGCAGTGTCTTTTGTGATCATTTACTGTAGTATTAGCGTGTGCAAGATGTCATCGTAATCAGTACAAAATAGTCTTTTTGACGGGACACGTTGCTTGTTTGCTTGATGATCCGAATTGCCACAGTGGAGTAATACTTCAGTTATACAAAAGGTCGAGCATTTGACTTCTCAGGCGGGGTAGTCAGTCTTTCTGTCTACGATTTGTTATTTTGATTTGATAGTAAACTAGTTCTGACGAATATCAGGGATTTAAACTCTTCATCAGCTTGCCTGTGTGTAACTTTCGAGTACGGGTGCCATCAGTAGCCTTGCCAGTTGGCACTTGCTACCTTCGGAATATTTCCAGGTGCCGTCGCCTCTCATGTAAATTGGGAGTTTCAGCTCTGTGATGTTGTTCGCCTACCTGTTAAGCGGAAAATGTTGTATATCAGTGAATGATATCATCAAAGCTAGTTAGTCGGCGCACTCTTGCTGTCTTTGCAGCCTAAAAGCTCCGCTGATTTAAACAATATAATATTTTAGCGAACTGAATCAGATGCTTTAACATTAACCCACTGGGTAATCGGTTGTTTTCGTGTTTCAGATGATATTGAAGTACCTATACTTCGAAACTTGACGAAAGAGGATGTGTTAGAATATTATGACAAGCATTTTGGTGTAAATTCACCAGAAAAGCGAAAGTTGTGCGCGATGGTTTATGCAGACAGTGAGAATGAGGAAACGATTAAAAGAAGTGAACGGAAGAAGCGTGAAGTTGCTGCTGATGCGAAGCGGGTGAGTCACATCCTCTTGATATGCTTCCAGCTCTTCAGCCTTGAGCTTTATTATTCAAAAGTGCGGACTACTTTTATTTTTTGCATATCCTCTAAACAAGTGCACTACGGAAGGGTTGTGCCTTTGTGTCTCTTCAGATGATATGACTTTGGATTTTAAAAACTGAGAGTTAAGTTTTAAGGATACAGTTGCCGGACTTGTGTGTTGAACAAACCAGAAATCTTTGTCTGACTGCTATTCTGTGACCTTTGATTTAAGAAAAATTTCGACTAACATTGTAGACGTGGACCAGGAAAAGTAAAAAATAGAATTTTTGGGAATTAATTTCCTACAAATTCCTGTTAGGAGAGTGTTAGGAGTGTTGAGTATATACTCTGGCAGCTCCAAGCATGCCGAGAAAACATTGTGCAGCATTTTGTCTGGTTAAGACTAGGCGCTGTAGACCATTGTGGGTCTCTGGTCAGTGGGTAGTAATGCATAATGGCCATGCAGCTATGCTCAACATGTAAAAGATATTGAATGTAAATTAAACGGCACGACATGGGGAACATGAGATGAGTAATATAAAAAGCGAGCTGCAGCACCTTCTCTCTGCACCTACAACCTTAGCTATCGAGTGGTGAACTGTTATGTACGAAATAAGTAAATGGGCCTGAAAATCAATGTGTCGAAAACAGAGAAGATGCAGAGTGCCTGTGACCTATTTTTTTATGCGTTTTTGCCGTGCAGCGCTAGAGCGCTGCAACAGGCAGCAAAAACGCATATTG